CAGCTTGGCAGGCGTGTCTCCTCAGTGTCACAGCCTCCTCCTCCTGAGGACACAGTCAGGTCATATTTCACTTTACAAACGCTGACATTAACATGTGGGTCTAACATATCTGTGTTTTACAGAAATGTACAGTGCTGACATTTTCCTCTGGAGCCTGAGCTGTGTGGTCGGCCATGTTCAGTCAGCTGGTGTATGTTTATGTCTGTAGAGACCTGAGAGACATCGTTAATGAAAGACTCTAAAGTATTTGTCGTCCCTGTGCAGCACAGAGCAGAGTGTGCTCAGTGTCCTCTGCAGGCTCCTGTAGTCGTCCTGTACTGTACTTACAGTGTGTGTGGCTGAGGCACAAACAGCCACGGGGGGAAACACTCTCATACAAGATTAATTAGCAGTGAAGCTGCCAGATCATTGGAGGATATAAATATCTAAACTCTCCAGGGTCAAATATTCCTCCGTCAGCTGTCCACCGCCGCTGCTGCTGCCGCCCTCGGCTCAGTCTCACCACCTCACCTTTACTTACAGGTTTAATTTGACCTCACCTGAAACCTCAGCACAGTAACGACATGTTTAGGTGTCACAGTGAGGTCACACCTGAGCTCTCTAATTGTCTAAATTCATCTGAGCCATTGCTTCATATGACTGAAAGAGACAAACACGCAGCTGCACAGACAACAGTACTGACATGTTGGCGAGACTGTGTGCGGGTTAGCGTTCTGATTCTGATGTCATCACTCTCATGGTTTTAGTACAGGTCACAGAATAACTGTTTGGAGAAATGGAATCAGAAACTCTGACGTCAGGTCTGTGAGAGGTGAAGACAGAGTGACAGGAAGTGACAGAGAAATGATTCAGATACTGTTAGTGCCAAATAAACAAACACTCATCAGGACCTGGTGACGTGCAGCTCCAACCACCAGTCGCTGACAACTTCAAGAAATGACTTTGGACTCAGAAAGGCAGCAATGAAAAGGAACTGTACACGTTTGGCCCCTGAGCATGTGGGGCCCCCAGGCTGCAGCCTCGGTCAGCTTACATATTACTCTGCACCCAAGTTGCAGCAGTAGCAGCAGTATTAACAACAGTATTAGCAGCAGTATTAGCAACAGTATTAGCAGCAGTATTAGCAACAGTATAAACAGCAGTATTAGCAGCAGTATTAACAGCAGTATTAGCAGCAGTATTAACAACAGTATAAACAGCAGTATTAGCAGCAGTATTAACAACAGTATTAACAGCAGTATTAGCAGTAGTATTAGCAGCAGTATTAACAGCAGTATTAGCAGCTGTATAAGCAGCAGTATTAGCAGCAGTATAAACAGCAGTATTAGCAGCTGTATAAGCAGCAGTATTAGCTGCAGTATTAACAGCAGTATTAGCAGCAGTATAAACAGCAGTATTAGCAGCAGTATTAACAGCAGTATTAGCAGC